AACGAATGAAGCTCGGACGGAATTCGTCTCATCTAATGAAAAGTGATGATCAAGTCGAAGGTGGAAGCGAGTTCAAAAGCAGAAGAACTGGCTAATGATTAATATTAGAATTAGCAGTGCTTGATATTTATATTTTGGCTATGCCAGAATAACAGTGTTTGTGGGTCTCCTACAATCACTGAGTAGACCTTTTGTCTCATATGTTGTATCGTTTCAGCCAAATTATGTCCACTGCTGGACAAAGGCCTCCCATATTGTCACTGTTGAATACTGTGATAATTTGTAAATTTAACCTGTTTTGAGACAAATAAATACTTTCTATCTGGAAAAAATATTGGATTACTCGTATTTGATGCGAATCCTAAACTTGGCTCATTCATTATAGCTTTGAACAATGGCAAATATTTCGAAATCGATTTTCCTATTCATATCGGCATCTGCAATTAGTGCATCCAATTAATTAACGAAGGGGGGGACGGGGGGGGGGACATTGTTTGCATGGATCCTGATTCATTGTGAAGCTAACTATTGTTTGGAATACACGGCTTTGTATGTCCAATAGTCGTATTGGTTTTTATTTACTGCTATAACATCTGTATGTCAATATTGAACTGAAATGTTGTTTGATTTATTTGATTAATGTTGACGACAAATAAAATGATTTTTCGGTGGCGTTTGAGCTTTATAGTTTTTTTTTTATTTTCGGTGCTAATTATGAGATTTTAGGATGTTAGATTAATCTTATGATTCTTCACGGCATAATGAAAGGCACAACACAACAAAGTTTGTTTCTGTTTAGGTTTGTCTTTACCACTATAAGAGTCATACCACAGAATAATAATAAGTACTATCATACGTTTATTATTTCATTTGATTCCTTTGTGTCCTATTTGGCCAAATACATCTCGATTTTATCTTCGACTCAAGAAAATACACCAGTGATATGAAACTGAACAAATAATGAATCCAGTATATCGTTTGTTTGGATACAAGTAATATTTCTCGGGGGATTTCGTATCGGTAGCGAGCTTTTATACCGATAAGAAAGCTTAGCGACGAACGATGGTTGTGTCCGACGTGTAGCCGAAGAAACGACGTGGCCGATAAATTTTGGAGAAAAGAAAATGAAAGAAATTGGCGAGCGTTCCTTGTATACGTTCTTGTAAACCATTGGAACACAGCTTCATATTCGCGCGATTTTATTACGTCTGCTAGGGTAGGAAAAAATTGATTGGCAAAGTGATAAAAACTTTGTTTCTAATGAAACTGCTTCTAATTTTTCTCATCTTATGTCTTTTCTGTTTATTCGTCTTAGCATTTTTATAAAGCTCTTGTTTGGAAAGTAGATTCAAGCCTATTTATTTATTTATTCTATTTTTGCAAAACACTTGTAAGCTTACAGAACAGGACCAAAAAAAACATGTCAATGAAGATATTGTATACCATGGGCATTTGGGCAACCTCCATGGTTTACTAATAATCGATTGTTATTTAAAGTATCCTTTAATGTAAGGGATAATATTGTTTCTTAGACAATTACCTACTTTGTTTCAATCCTCTAACAATCTAACCAAACTGAGATCAGTTGTTACAGCAAGTGATTCTCCAATTTCCTAGACTTGAGCTATCAAAACTACGGATGCGTGAACTTAGCTCACATGTGAAATTCGTGTACCAAATACTACCTAGTATCCGTAGTTACGTACCACATACACTACTAGTTACTTACGTAGGTAAAAATAGGTATTTTTACTGTTAATTATGAAAAATCTAAAACGTTAAAATAACGGTATCGTTGTGGCCAATGAGATGCTGTCAACGTCAATGTCACACTAGCTTCAAACGTCAGAATAGAGGGACGCGAGGAGATGACTCCGTGCGCTTTTGTGCTAAGTGATGAATTGTATCTAAAATAAGGCAATAGACTGTGAAAGTTAAGTATCCAGTGTTTTATTTATGAGAATAGATCTACCGGCCTCTAATATTACCTACGTAAGTCGTAACTAGTACCAGAAGATGTCATGTAGAAAATCGTTTAGCACTCTAAGATGTTTTTATAGTATAGATACGTTATACCCGCTCAAGAATGGCAATGCAAAAGAGATACAATTGGACCTCTTGCATTCAGTCGGACATGATCGGTTGCCGCGAACAGCCACCAATGCACTTCCCGATTGCCTTCCTGATTGATTGATAATATTATGCCTTCGTGTGTTTTTAGTTGATGTACAAATTACACTGCCACTATTATGAACCAGAAAAATGTGTCATTTCATTCGTAAATACAGTTTAATTAGTAAAAAAATAAATTTTAATTTTTATTCAATTTGACAAGGGTTGACGGTTGAATTTGACATTTGAGCTAAAATCTAGAGACCACTGCCAGGGGAAGTTGGGGCGAATATCTATCAATTAAGAACTCTGCATTTAACTCACGGAATAATTGTTTTTCTCTAGAAAAGAATATTATTATAATTATGTATTCCTGTGTTGACACGTATTCATCCGAAATCGATAAAATCAATGCTATGGCTATTATTACTGTATGATTATAATGATTTATGATCAAACGAAAAAGACTTACTCGAGGAACAAAATTATAGCAGAAACGAATAATATTAATTATTTATTATTTTTATTTATCCTTGGACATTTTTACAATACGCTTCTAGTCCCAAACAAATTTGATGTACCTGTATAAATTTACAGTCTGCTAAATCAAAACTGTGGTTAATATGAAAAATATGGGCGGACTATGTTTTCCTATCGAGGATTATATTTCAAAGCCTACAGTCAGAAATGCTACTTCCCGATCCCAAAAAGATTGCAATTTGTATAAATAATCGAATTTTAATGTCTTTTTAGGGTTCCGTAGCCAAATTGCAAAAACGGGACCCTTATAGGTTCGTCATGTCTGTCTGTCTGTCTGTAGCTAGCTAGAGAATATTCCACTTTTAATCTCAGGGTAAAACCTCATACATTTTGCACATAAAAATAATCCGGATTTGAAAACTCATTATAAAAGACAAAAAAGGCATAAGACTCAAGTTGATTTAAGGGAAAATAATAAGTTACGTTTTGTCTTGCTTTTGTTTAAATATTAGTTTGATAGTTCATTCGAAAATACAATTTAGGTTCTCTATATCTGTGAGGTTCACTCTACCCTATTCTCCTTTTCTGTGCAAAATGTCAAAATGAATAGCTGTCATAAAATAGGACTACTTGCGCCATTTTAAAATACAATAATGTAGGCGCATAACGTGTCTATTTATATGATATGTCATTGTTAGCACTTCGACGCCTCATCGATGTCACACATGCCAGCCTCCACGTAATAAGCAGAAAGTTTCGTTGTTAAGCAGAAGAATTTAAAGGGTGTCAGTCGCGAACAAGATGGAGTTGGTAACAGCTCGGTAATTTATACAGGTGTGAACTTCTTCACTTCCAGGAACAGTTCAAATTGTTTCGGAGTAAAGCCTGTTGTTATCGCCTGGGAACCCGAAAACTTTACGCTTTTAACAAAGTTTTTTTGTAGGGATTGAGCCTAATGGTGTAATAAACATTTTTCAAGACCACTTTGGGTTTTTAGCTTCAAGCCATTTTAAGATTAACTTGTATTGTAGAGAATTAAAATAAATGTTTAGTTTAATTTACCGCAATAAAGAAATTCTATTCTATTCTATTCTAACGGAATTAACTTTAGTGGATCTATTTATAATTTGATCTTATCCATTTGTGAAATCTAAATGATTCAGATTTAATATTTGCTTCTTAAACGTGCCCCCTTTGAAAAAACGGGTTAAAAACTAATCTTGTTTTCCATAGGTCTTAAATATCTCTACAGTGTGTCCGGGCATGTAGTGATCAAACTTTAAGGGCGTAATCTATGGACAATTTTGTCGGTGAAAATACTTTAAATTTGGGGCTTGACCCATTTCTCGCATATTTACAAGGATTTAAGTTTTTAATTTTAAGTTTTCACCTCTTCCTTCAAAAACAAGTGATAGCGTGGGTAACTTAACATTAATAAGCAAATATTTTATATCATGCGATAGCCAATAAAATTATCTACTAGTAGAAGTAGCAAACAGACACAAGTTTCATACATTTTAAGGGAGTAAGAATGGATTTAATTAGAAATAAACATGATTTTTTTCACATCTTTTTCAGTTATGGCGAGTTGATACCTATTACCTACATAGACAAGTGAACAACATACCGCATATCCTTCTGCTCGTATCTGGGCGAGTTGTCCCGGTCGTATCTGGGCGTGTTGTCTCTGACGTCATATCTCGGCGAGTTGATACCTATTACCTACATAGAAAAGTGAACAACCTACTGTATATCCTTCTGCTCATGTCTCGGCGAGTTGTCCCGGTCGTATCTGGGCGAGTTGTCCCGGTCATATCTCAGCGCGGCGTCCCTAGCCTCGTGTCGCGGCGAGTTGATACCTATTACCTACATAGACAAGTAAACAACCTACCGTATATCCTTCTGCTCGTGTCTCGGCGAGTTGTCCCGGTCGTATNATGGAATGACCCAAATAGCTTTTTAGAGTCTTTTATTGACTACCTACTTAAAATGAACAGATTTTTTACTAAATAAATAATTAATGTTGGAATTTTTTTTTTATTTAAAAACTGCCTTTTATACCCATAATTTATGCAAGGTATGCAAACTAAATAGTACCACGTAATAGCGTCGTAAACTAAATAGTCCCACGGCTGTCGATAAAACAGCTTTGTATGCACGGGCCCTACGGCTGATGCAATCCGAGCCTTGAGCTTCGGCACTTGCTGACGAAACAGCGCCTCACTATTTCACCAAAACACTTGCACCCGGCTTTACACTATTTTCATATACGATAAAGGTCAAAACAAGATAAAGCCGGTTATGGAGATTACGATTTTTCTACGTAGGTGACCCGCCCGCGCGCTCGGCCAATCACAGCGCGCGACGCGAACACTCCTCCGCTATATTAGTGCGCCCGCGCACCGAGACCATACATTCGACGTTTGAATTCCTTGTCAAACACATTTAATTATTAAATGGGTGATAGAGTCAATACAATCGGGTACTACCGGTGGCTTATATACCTCTTCAGCTTCAGTAACAACGAGAGAAACATTTAGCAATATTTTTTCAATTTTAGACAATTAATTAATCAGAAAGTATTAATTTTAATAGATTTTTTAAATTTCCCAGTTTTCGTTTTTTTTTACTTAATTTTTTGCAAAATGTTGCATTTCAAGACTGTCCCTGAGGACTACGTGAAGAAGGCCGCACAGTGAGTATTTTATTTTGTTAAGTAGATCAATTAATTTAAGAAACAAAACATATTTTTGTATATTTTACAGATACTAATTATTTTTTAAATACTTGATTAAAATCGTTTAAATAACTTCATATTTCTAATATTTTATCTTAGTCAGCCTCCTTTGTCGAAGGACCTTGACCATACTCGTAGTAAAAGTATCATAAAATATATTTAAAATGCATAATATTAGAACAACTTTGTTAACTTAGTCAAACATTTAACTTATTTCCCTATTAATCTACTAAAACATTTCTATATTGTTACTAAATTCTATCTATAGCCTGACCAGGAACATAAAAACCCTCGCCATGTTGCGGAAAACTAATGGTACTAATTTCTTTTAATGGCAACAGTAACTGAAAACTTCATTGACATGTCACCTTGCATGTCAGTCTATTGCTGTCAAAGTGTAAACAAATTTTATTTTAAATGTACGCAACTGATTTTGTGAATTAAATTGCTAAAATCTTTTTATAGTCGTGAAAGAAAAGTGGTTCACAATGTGTTAAAGTATTTGACGAAGAGAAATACTAAGGGTTCGGACAATATTTTCATTGAATAATGTTTCCGACAAAGGTTGTCAAATTGACTGACATGTGTATCGTATAGTACAGTCCACTATGAAAATTAGCTGTGGTTTGTTTCAACTAACTATTTTAAAATTTTTTGTCACTTTCTAAGTGTTGAATTTTATGGAATTGGGAAAGAAGTACCGAGTCTGAAGCGTTCATGAGCAGACATTGCAGTTGAATATTCAAGTTCTGAATTTGATTATTGATGAATAATAAAATAAATCCTACTAGCTTGATTGATGGTTTCATTTAATTTATTTAAACCAGGTTACCTATAATAATATGTTTTCGTTAATTCATGAAAATATTAAATTAACCCGTAATCCTGAATCCTGATACATAAAGTTAGCCTATTAATTTAACACAGGTACGACTGTACTCAGTGTTGCACTATCAAATGCAATTGACGCGCCACTATGCCAGGGTTTTTATGTTCCTGGTCAGGCTATAATTTACTTACTCAAGATATCGTATCCTAATAAACAATTAATATTTTAAATAGGTAATGTTAACTCAAACACAGATCATCGTAACTGAGTCATTGTTTTAATAAGTGACTAAAAGTTTCTTTAAACAGATAATTGCCATCGACAATCGACAGGAATAAGTTTTCAAATAGTCCCATTTAATTAAAAAAATTAGCTTTTAATTCAAGTGGAAATCGCGAATCTAATTGCAACTTATCAGTTTTGCCACACAAGTAATATCAGTTCACAAGGCAACAATCTATAAACGTCGATACGAACTCGCATTTCTAGGGAGCTAACAAAGAGTCATTGTTTGAACTGTATATTGGACTCAACATATCGACATTTACAAGAATTCACTCGTAAAGTTTCCATTAATTAACTAAGTATAAATGTAATCACTATAATTACAAATGATACAACTAGGTAATAATACAACTTAATTTACTAAATGATGGTCGCAATCGTGAATCAATTGTAATGATTTCTAACAGTCTATGATTTAGTTTTTTCTCAGTTTTAATGTAAATTAACTAATTAGTTAAAAATAATTATAATGACATGCAACCTAAAAATAGTCATAGAGTCATAACGCCTATCACTAATTTATCATTACTTAACGATTTTATTTATGATAGAGATCAACATCACGTAACAACGATAATTGTATTTATTTGGATAAAAGTACCAATAAAATCTTTAAATAAAAATATAATAAATTCTTTTTATATTAAAGTTACTAAAAATATTAAAACAGGAGGTACTTTAAGACTCTATGACGTCATTTTTTGTTAGTGCTTGCGATGCATTATAAGTAAAGTCTAGACTCTAGACTACTTCATACATTTTTTAAGTCAGCGTAATATGAAACTATAGTAGATTTTCAAGTCAAGTTTTAGTAAAAACTAAAACTGCAACATAACATTTTTTTTAAATATTTAGGTTCGAGTAAAAAGTGTCGCGTATAAAGATCAAGGAATTGTTAATCGGCAAATAATAGGAAACATTATGATAAAGTATAGCCTGCCAAAAGTATTCAGGTTCCTACATAATATGTAGGAGGTACTACTAGTCAAATAGTTCAAGTATTAAAAATGCAATACCAGTACATAGCGTAATTTTAAAAAACCAAGATTATTTTGCAACTTTGCAAAATGACATAAATAATTAGTGGAGCATTAAGTAACACTTGCAATACATCATCATCAGGAACGTATATAAGTATAATAATATCTGCATAATATCTTAAGGAAAAGTTGATAATAAATATTTAAATACGTAACCAAACCACACAATAATAGTTACAATAACGTTAAATGACCATTTCAAAGAAATATTTTGAGTAACTAGAGTTCATCAATTTCGTCTTTGATTTCAATTAAATTTATTGTTTCCTTATTTATCTACTAGGGAAGCAGTTCAGAGTTCAAGCACAAAACTGGTGTTAATAATTCACTTGCTAGAATTTAGTTCGCCGATAACAGAGTGCGAAGTACAATATCAGTACGTGCATCGTTGTTACAATAATAAACAAACAAAACAATATCGATAACTTAAAATTAAAAAGAGAACTGCGTAACATATTTAGTTTTTACAAAGACGGAAAATAGTCCATTCATTGAAAAACGTTTATCCCCTTTTACAGATAGTTCGTGTACTTAACTACATCTTAACTCTACCTTTAAAACGAAGTCCACGTTCGCAAAGTGGCTTCTTTTATCAATTTCATAATCTCCTTCTTTTGGTTGTGGTTGTATGCCTACATTTTATTATTTACACACGAAACAGCTAAAAACGTAAAAGGTACATTTACTTATTGCAGAAAAAAGTTTTTCAATCACTTTTGCTGGCTGGTTTTAAATGACAATAAAAAAATATCTGACGTTTCGTAAGTTTTCGCGCCAATTTTTCTAATTGTCATCAATTTGTTCTCTTTTGCTACAGATGCGCGCAGGTGGTCATCGGCTGCAGCAGGGCGGCCCACCAGACCGCCCTCCGAGGAGTCAGCAAGCCCACCCCTGCACTTGCTGCCCTCACCCCGAAGGTAACCATTAATTCTTCTTTTTTTATGTAGACTAACAAAATGGTCACAGAATTGATTACAGCTGTGATGTCCAAGGTCAGTAGATAAGGCGACTGAGTTTCTACCGCCACTTCTCAGCATTAGCCGATGATGTTACAAAGTGGTGGTAGGGCACGGAACACTGAAAAGGGTTATAATAATAAAAAAATAATACGAGTAATGCAAAATAGTAAATAACTTATGTTTCTGGCAAATAAACCTTTGATTTTGAATTTGTACATACCTAATTATTGTTTTAGAGGGCATGTAGAGCTCACTCGAACATTCATTCAAGTCAATATCTTCATTGAAACTACGCTTCTTGAAAGCCTATTACAACATTTAACACCAGCCTACTCTTACTAGATTACTTACTTAGCATAATGTTTCCCAACCTGCGGTAAAGTACGGTGCAATACCAGCCACAAACTTGTTATTTGATAGGCTATCTATTGACTATTGACTAAAAGTTTAAACGAACTAAATAAGTAGTAACCTAAACCTTATCCCTTAGGGCCTTAGCTGTAAAATAGAGTGATTATTTATTAACGAATACTCGGACTAACTATTGTAAAATCTTGAAAAAGAGGCTGACAATTATAGTGACCGAGTTTCTTGCGCTGCTTCTTCTCAGCGCTGACCCATATTGTTGTCCTGAAGTGGAAGGGTTAGGTCATGATAGTTATTACTAAAGAGCTCTAATAGAGTTTAGAACTTTTTAGGAGTAAATAAGGAGTAAGTAAGACGTAGCGTAGGCAGGCCTCCCATTAGGTTGGACCGAGGATCTGGTGAAGGTCGCGGGCGGACCGGTCTTTGCGGAAATCCTTGTGGGAGGCCTTTGTCCAGCAGTGGACGTCTTTCGGCTGAAACGAACGAAGGAGTAAATAAATAAAGTGTACTTACCTATTTTTTAATTTATTAAAACCTTATCCCTAGGTCCGTGCGTTCGTCGAGCGCAGCGCGGCTCTCTGCCAACCAGAGCATGTGCACGTATGTGACGGATCGGAGGGCGAAGCCACTGCCCTGCTCAGCCTCATGCAGGAACAGGGCACGCTGAAACCTCTGCCGAAGTACGACAACTGGTGAGTAACCTGGACTACCAGTTTAAGGACGAATACGAATCGTAACCGTATTAACTCGAATCGTTCAGCCCTCCTAGACAAGTTGCACTTTTTGATCGAATCGAAACCGTCATAACTCCATAAAAGAACGCCTTTTGACCATTTTTCGACGGGTTTGCGATTTTAATGTGCTCTTTGTCGAGACCCATAGGACTACCTACTGGTTTAAGGACGAAGCACACTTATCAACCCGAAAACGGATTGTAACCGTATCAAATCGAGGCGTTCAGTATTCTTTGTATGAAACTCCATACTGCAACGCACTCGTTATGATAATACTATGAGAGCTATCTTTAAGAGAAGACCATGTCCACATGGGTAGTGAATCGGGATTCTCTGAAAAGAAACAGGTCTTTTACAAGGGCTCGTTGTTTTAACTATCAAAGTAATATTAAAGTAAGTAGGCTGAAGAAAGTTGAGTTAGGCCATAAACACAAAGCAAGAGTCACCAGGAAAGCTGTTACTCAAATGATTTTGGTGCACCTCTTAGATCCAGTTAATGAGTTACAATTTAAGTGATAAAAGTGACTCAATTGAGCACTTATTCAACTAGTGCTAGTAACCAAGTAATTAGATGTTGTGTTTACATTGTTGTTAATATACTTCATAAACATTTCGTGAGCAAACAAAGCCAATAATTAGGCACCTACTTAATTAATCATAAATGTTGTTCTATTTACTCGTACAAATCCGCACTCGATAATGATGATAGATTTAGATTAGTAACTTACATAAATCTTAATGATCACGCAAACCAACCGGCTTGAGTTTCTATTCTCAGGTCACACGAAAGTTTAGTCTTATGTTTATATTTAATATGATTTTATAACGCCCTAATTTTAAGCCTTAGACTTCCGCGACAATCGAAGACAGCTTTCAAGGAAGCAGACTTTCATAAACACCCTTTCTCCTTTATTATTAGTCTCTCCAATCATCCTGTTATCCTATTTCCCATTCAATTTATTATAAGACCCCATTTTTCGTCACAACAGCTGGCTACCCCGTACGGATTCCAGCGCTTGATTAACATACTCAACGCTGTCTCTAGGCTCTCCAATCATCCTGAAATCCTACTTCCCATTAACTTTGTTAAAATACCCCATTTTTCGTCACAACAGCTGGCTAGCCCGCACGGACCCAGCTGACGTGGCTCGCGTGGAATCCCGCACCTTCATCTGTTCGGATCGGGAGAGGGACGTGGTGCCTGCCGCGAGGCTGGGCCAGAAGTCTGCTTTGGGGAACTACATCGCACCGGCTGATTACGAGAAGGCTGTTGCTGAGAGGTTCCCTGGATGTATGAGAGGTGAGATTTCTTCTTTTTAAACTTCTGAGTAGTTTTTATTAATTGTTTTAAGTTAGGTGGAAATGTAAACATGAAAGGTCTTCTAATTTTTTTGAGTTAGGTAGATAAAATTGTAAATATGAAAGTACTGGGGGTAAGCCTTTGTTCAGCAGAGGACGTCTATGGCTGAAATGAAAATTACGAAAATTGTATTTACATATTTTATAAATAGTTTGTTTTACCAAAAGTCGTCCACTCTTTCCCAAGGATTTCCACAACGAGCACAGTACCTACATACAGAGCACCAAAAGATTTTAAATAATAGATAGACTCAAGACTCACCCCGTAACAATAAAATTGCTGAAACGACTAATCATCATATTCATCATCCCCAAGTAACATTTTACTCCATTTAAGAGTTCACATTTAGTTCCAATGTGTACTTAAAGCATTAGTACAGTTCACTCGTGATGTATAAGCTGTATTATTGCAATTAATTACACCTATACCTGTCTAAGGGACTTATAGGAGTGTAGACTAGTGTAGAGTTATACTTTTATACGATTGTTGGTGTTATAATACTCTAATAACTATCCTTTAGTCAGCCATCTGACTAAGAGCATTATAGGAGGGTAGAGATACGGCAACCGCTGTTTAACGGCCTACTTGTACGATGTTATAGATCTAGCATTTTAATAGAACACACGTGGTCATTTATAAAGCCAAAGGCTGTTATGTTTACTTGTTTTAGACTGTTATACAGCTAGTAGCTGTAGTAGGACTTGTTTGTGATAATTAAAATAACCTTTTTTTACTATCTGTACAAAAGTGTTTCAATGGTTCGCATGTACACTGTAGGCTGTTAAAAGGACTATATGTGTTGTCCATTAACATCAATAGCAGTTTATTTGTCCACAAGTACTACTCTTATTTGCTTTAAGCTGAACACGAATGTGAATGTGATATTCTATTACACATTTCCCCAAGCCTGTTTTTAGTTGTTCATGGTGGTTCTGTACATGATGCAGAGGAAAATATTATGCCTGAACCTGAAATTTCCCTTCAAAATATACCAGATATCAGAGTGTGATGATTGCAGTTCTTGTGATAGTGAATACCATTTTGATTTGGACAATTATTTAACCTTTCGAAAAAAAAAATAAGAACATGGGCTATTGAAAATCGTATTCCTCATTCCGCTTTGAATAAATTGTCAAGCATAATAAACGAATTTAAACCGGGAACACTACCGTCTGATGCTTTAGGTATTCATACTTGACTATTAGTACCTGGGCTAGGCGATTTAACGGACATTAATAATTTTTATTGCGGATCTCTAAAATTTCAGTATTTGAAAGAATTAAAGATACACAATTGACCTGAACTAGGTACATCTTAAAGCTGTACATAAGTTCACATTAGAATAAATTTATAGACATTAGCGCTGTAGTGGTACAAATGTGGAACTTCATATAGATAACAGCATTCTAACAGAACACATGTGAACCTAATATACGCTCACCGCATTAAATTGGAGTTATAACAGTTCACATAGCCGTATTTCATTTCCACCATTTTGTTCTACATAACCTAAAATATTTACCAAATAAATCTCCAAAATTAATGCAGATTTATCACAAAATTCGCAGATAGAGCGATTGAGTTTTGGTTTCATGTTATAATTAATTACCGTAATATAATTATAATGCCAATCCAATATCAAAAACTGAAAATTGTAGATTTCCTCTCAGCCAGTTTTAAATATTTTAAAATGAATATCGCGTTTTTACAGAGGCGCGTAAATATTTTAGCTGTAAATATGTATACATTTCACGATAAAGTTGCATTCCCAATGGCATTAACATTATTAAGTATTTAAAACCCGTGTTATTATTTGCATAAATGATTATCCGCCCGAATTGTTTCCCTCTTGGCACTCACGTACAAATACCAAACTAATATTAAATTGTGGAAATAATTTAAGACACACGTGAACTTTAGGTAGCATTGGAGTACTTTTGTCGGACTTTATAATTTTGAAAGCTGTGCATTTAGCCACTTGTTACTCTTTATTGTCCTCACGTACGTTGTATGGTTCACACTGCGTCCCATATAGTGCCGTAAGTCAGCCTTAAGTACGATGTTACTACTTAAACTGCTATTATAATGCTATTATACTGCTAATGTACAGCCATAGTGAACTTAAAGCTGTCTAATTTGTGCCCAAACTAGTTCTATAAAAGCATTATAGCAAGCTATACAGCTCGTATACAGCTGACATACACAGCTTGTGGAGTACATGTGAACGACTATTGAACTCTTAAATGGAGTAAAATGTTACTTGGGTCAACATCTCAGCCATAGGACGTCCACTGCTGAACATATGCCTTCCCTAATGCTTTCCATGTTTCCCGGTTGGTAGCAGCCTGCGTCCAGCGCCTTTCTGCTACCTTTACCTACGAAACGACTAATGCCTATCTTTAATAAGGGTTTCTTGTCTACGGAACCCTTTTTCAACACACACCAGCGGACTTAAAACCAGTTTCTTGTACCCAGGTCGCACAATGTACGTGATCCCCTTCTCGATGGGTCCCGTGGGCTCCCCGCTGTCCAAGATCGGCGTGGAGATCACCGACTCTCCCTACGTCGTCTACTCTATGCGAGTCATGACGAGAATCGGTAAGTAACCAATATTCTAGGAAAGAAGCCAACTGACTTCTTCTACCTTATCTAAAGGACACACAAAATACTTTTTATCATTGTGACAATCAAAAATACCTACTTAACCGTGGCATTCAGATTCAGGCAGCTGTTGCTCTTTGCTACAGAATTTTAAATAATGTTGAGAGTTAGAGACACTTCTTGAACTCCGTAAACTTCTATTCTACGCCAATCCTAACCAATGGGGTTTGCAATTGGGACGTGTATTTACACGTCATATTTGTGAGCTAAGTTACTAGCACATTTAAACTTCTTGAAGGATCCCTCCTTCCACTTCTTGTAGGTTCCTTTAATGGAGGCAGTTCGTAAGAACTTCAACATTTCAAAAATGACAACTGAGAACGCAACAATTGGAACGGATGTATCCAAGTCATCCCGTGGAACTCTAGGTGGTCATGAGACCGCGGTAACAATTGATTTCTATTGTGTATCTATTAGCTGGTACTTATAAGCCCAATAAGTACCCTATAATGTAGGGCTAATGAGAATAAATGACCACCTACTCATTATAAATGTCGTCCACAGGCAGCAAAGTCCTCGAAACGCTGCGGCAAGACGAGTCTTTCGTACGTTGTTTGCACGCAGTAGGAGCCGGCGGCGTGCCCGGCTGGCCTTGCGACCCACAACGCACTGTCATCCTGCACCGGCCTGCTGATAATGAGATCATCAGCTACGGTGAGTTGCACATCCATATTATTACTAGGAATTGAAAAGTATGTGCAAGATAGAGGATGAACATTGAACAATTTAGTCAGAAAAATTGGGGAGTTTTAAAGCAATTGAGATGATTTAAGCCATAGTAATAGGTAAGTAAGTAGTAAATTAAGGCAACTTGATGATATAACTTTCTTTTTTGTCGGCTCTCCTTTTTACTCACAATGAAGATCCTGCATCTCAGTCACCTAATGAGAAGTGACGATGGGCTAATGGTTAAAGCTTCACCCGGAATCCTCTACCACAGAGGAACTATGAGCTCTTGCTGCCTAAACAAAACAACGCTGTCACAGCTTCTTAATCTACCTTCGTTTATTGTTAGGTAGCGTTTCGTCGTTGTCTTTGTTCAAGTGTTCACCAAGAATTTATTTTACAGGAAGCGGCTACGGCGGCAACAGTCTCTTGGGCAAGAAGTGCTTCGCTCTCCGTCTTGGCTCCGTCCTGGCCCGCCGCGAGGGATGGCTCGCTGAGCATATGCTGGTGAGTCCACACTTACTGAAGTTAGAGTTTGAAGCCTCAAAGTAGGTAATAATACACTAGGAAAAACAGCCATGATACAGCAAAGTAGTACGTAAAGCTTCTTTTTTATGTAAAAGGAGCCAAACTGCTCCCTACTGTCCATTAAGACCAGCATCATCAACTCCTACTGACTCTTAGCTCGCTCTTTTAAAGATAAATAAATCTGATTTCTCCAAAACCAGTTAATTTCGTCCGAAACTGATGTTAGTGACTATAGGATTGGTTATGGCGTTTGGATATTACTACAAGAGACTACCAAGAACTATTTTAATTGAACCACCTACATCTCGAATGTCATTGTTCAATTACCTACGTTTAACCTACCTACTGCTGGACAAAGGCCTCCCCCAAGGTTTTCCACAATGAACGGTCCTGCGCAGCCCGCATCCAGGCTCTTCCCGCGACCTTTACCATTACATTTGGCTGAAACGAACGAACGAACGAACGAACCTACCTACAAGCCCGATGTTTTATTACCCACTTTACTAACAAATATCTACTGTCCAGATCCTAGGCATCACGGCTCCCAACGGTCGTAAGCGTTACATAGCGGCCGCATTCCCTTCAGCCTGTGGGAAGACCAACCTGGCCATGATGACGCCATCCCTACCAGGGTACAAAGTGGAATGTGTTGGAGACGACATCGCCTGGATGAAGTTCGACAAAAACGGAGTGCTCAGGGCTATCAACCCGGAGAACGGATTCTTTGGAGTCGCACCAGGTTAGTATTTTAAATTGAAGCTGAGTAAAGCATTTAAAGCTTAAAGTAAATGACTAATGCCCGTATTCACAAACATTACTATGAGGTCGCACAGTGCGCGTGGACGCACAGGGTCACACATGGACCAATCACAGAGCTCTATTCAACGCTGCGCGTTCGATTTGCTGCTTCACTTATGCAAGCATCCTTTGTGAATACGGGTGTGAATATTAATCTGCTATTGAAGTTGGAAACTATCATCAGACAAGCTTTTAGAGACCTAGACAACCTACTACGCTTTGATCCATTTTGCTGAAAGACTCTTCTACTAAGGCACAAGGCTTAGACAGACCCTAAACTAAAAAATATCGTCAAAACTAACGCAAAAACTTATGAGTCCGGCATATCAGACTCGCTAAATCGCCTGTACTCCATCTTCATACGATCCCATTGTGTTCTCTGTACCTATCCTCTAACCTCTAGACTATCAAGAACTGTTCATTTATTCCCATATCCCTATTTACAGGAACATCGGCAGCTACAAACCCGATCGCAATGGCAACAGTGTTCAGCAACACCGTATTCACGAACGTCGCCGAGACCCAAGATGGCGGTGTGTGGTGGGAAGGCATGGACTCCGCTCCCGGGAAACTGACCGACTGGAAGGGACAGCCGTGGGATGCTAGCAAGAAGACTCCTGCTGCTCATCCTAACTCGAGGTAGGTTTGGCCAAAGTTGTTTATGCCAAGGCAGTGCTTTAAAAAAAATTACAGTGTTGCCCGTTAAGAAATTTACCCACTGAATTCGGGAATTTATACAATGACTATTTGACACCATTCCCCAATAATTCGAAATCACAACTTTTTTAAACAGACACTTCAATAAATAATAATAAATAAATAAATAATTTAAAAAAGTATTTTAGTTGAGTTGACAAAATAGTGACGTCACTTGCTTGTATTGCCATACAAAATCTATGGAAGAGTCTCGTTTTGACCGTTTCAAAAAGTATGTCAATTGATTTCTGGAGTCAACACGTCTATTAATTAACTAATTATTTATTTTAAATTCCCAGATTCTGCACCCCAGCACAGCAATGCCCCATAATCGATGACAACTGGGAGAGCGCCGAAGGAGTGCCGATTTCAGCTATCTTGTTAGGAGGGCGCAGGCCTGAGGGCGTGCCGCTGGTTGTGGAGGCAAGGGATTGGAAGCATGGCGTCTTCATGGGCGCGGCTATGAGGTCGGAGGCTACTGCTGCCGCGGAACACAGTGTAAGTAATCAAGACCATACTATCCGTTTGCGATAAGTTTGCCGCTGGCGATATGACGTCACTCGAAGAGAAGTGTCTATAACTATAGCAAACTATATTGAAAATATTTTTATTTATTAATATTGATTGCGTTTAATCGCGGTTGGGGGAGGGGACGCGCATTCCACGGACCGGCAAACTTAACGCGAACGGTTAGTACTGTAATTCCTTCAGCAATCACAACTGTTCTTTAAATACCCTAATAGGGAAACTGGATCGGTACTTTAATAGTACCTAGGTAATTAACTTTACAAAAGACAAAAAATTAAGTGAACGGATTGATGAGACATTATAGATAGTTGTAATAATTACGATTATGCAACTAAAATAAATTGTAGTCTAATGTGCTGTCGACTATAATAATATAATATGCATATTGCACAATGTATCTAAATTACATAGTGGAATATGTTCTTTAAATAAAATTAATTTTGTCTACAGGGAAAAGTAGTGATGCACGATCCGTTCGCCATGCGGCCATTCTTCGGCTACAACTTCGGCGAGTACCTCAAGCACTGGCTCTCCATGCCGCAAGCTGGCCGCAAGATGCCCAAGATCTTCCACGTCAACTGGTTCCGTAAGAATGATCAGGTAAGAACAGCACGTTATTACCAGGGCATTTTTTTAGGCAAATAAAGTTCCTTGATCTTAAACAAGGCTTTAATTTCCGCCGCATGCCTAGCAGCTGTCCTTACAGAGATTGATAAAAAAATGTTTTTATTGTAGAATGATTGATGGTCTTTGAATAATTTTATAGAGATGATGATAGTAATACATTTTTAGTTTATATCCACGATTTGTTGTTTAACGTATCATGTATTTACAGGGCAAATTCCTCTGGCCCGGTTTTGGCGAGAACGCCCGTGTCTTGGACTGGGTGCTCCGTCGCTGCGACGAAGAGCCATGCCACCAAGAAACTCCTCTCGGATACGTGCCCAAGCAGGGCGAACTCAACACTCAGGGGTTAGGGGACATCGACATGAAGACGCTGTTCAGTATACCCCAGGACTTCTGGCTTAAGGAGGTTTGTAGCAATTTATTGAATCCATTATCGACCAGGTTTTAAAGTCAATAATGAACAAAAATTTCAATTTGGCTAATAGAAACAACATAATAAAGTGCAACAGTTGACTTGTAATTAGCTAACTCAAATTAATAAATTCGATTGTAATGGTACCCATTTAATAGTGAACTCTTAGTTGAATATTCATTAACGAATTAGTTCCGCAACTTAATTGATTGAATCATGTTCGAAGCGTTATTTTTAAATATTTTTGTATGATTTTACTAATTCTCTTTTCTATTTACAGGCGGATGCTATCGAAAAGTACTTCAAAGAAGAAGTTGGCGAAGACCTGCCAAAAGAAATGTGGAGCGAACTCGAAACCCTCAGGAAGAACGTGAAACACTCATAAAAAACTAGACCAAAGATCGTAACAATAAGAATCTATCGTAATATAACATTCCCTCGACTAATAAAATCATAGTTATAATTAGTTTTAATGCTAATCGTATGCTATGCGTTGAGCTTGAGATTAATACATTACATAATAGATTACAACGAAAGATCAAAAACTCAAAACTAAGATCGATAATATCATAGATGTTGAAGAAGAATACGTTGGCTGTGTTAATTAATTTATAAGATAAGCAAATGTAAAAGTAATATTTAAGTAATCATAACTATTTAATAAGTAAGAATGTATCAAATAAAACAAAAGTTTATAAAATACATGATTTTATTTCTTAACAAATCTAACATAGTAGGTAATTGTTACACAAAAACGATACAAAAAAGTGGTGTACCACTGTTTGCTGTTTGACAATTATTACTTCATATGTTTTGCTGAAAATACTCTGACTCCATCTTGAGTTGACGCTCGTGCATACTTCGTCAAGATCGCATTGACATTCAGCTTTTCCGTTGCATAGCATCTGTAGGTGAAAAAGAGAAAGAGAAGGGTATAAAATATCATGTTTATCTGATCTGTTACACGAATCAGAAGCTACTGTTTAATGCTTGAGAATATCAGCTGTAGGAATGTCATCCTCAAAACCAATGATACTGACTGATCATGACTGTAATATCTGAGATTTAAGCTTCTGAATCGCCTGCTTGTTCGGTTTCTGAGGGTAAAACCACTTACTGGATATACGGCGATATTTCATCAACAGTCCACTTTGTCTTGGTTTGGAATAGGATTTTGAATCGCTCATTGATATCTTCCGGTAAATCACTTTCAGCAAATCCCCATATTACTTTCGGTGTACTCGTTTTATCGATCAAAGCAATCCCCGACAGTAGTGATTCCTGAAAATAACAATGACTATTATAGTTAGTGACTAAATTATAGAATGGCAATAATTAGAATCACAATTTAATAAATTAGACTTACATCAGTCACCATTCCTTCAGGGACAGAATCGCTCCAAGCTTGAAGAAATTCAGCCAAATTAAACTTTCCGGCGCTCTTCAGCAGTACTTTAGCCAGAAAACCACAAACTTTATCTTGTTTATATTGGTAGTACTGAATTCCATCTTCTTCTATTGATTCTGTTGTGTAAAATCTAAACATCGATTTCAATATCGTTTCTGGTACAAGATCTTTTAAACTTTCTAACGTTTCTTCTTTAGAAATTTTGTCTAAGGCCCATGAATTCTCTTCTATCAAATCCAACATATACGACAGCACTCTGAATTCGTAATCAAACTCCAAAAGTCGGTAATGATCGTCTATTTTTATTGCTTGTATCTTGTCTAATTCTTCATCTAGTTCTGCTTTTGACGCCTGCACTTTATCACACAAATTTTCATAAGTCAATAATTTTGATTTATCAACTGCGTATTCTAATTCTATGCCTTGATACTTGGTGAGTTCTAAAAGTTTTCGCAACTTGGAAAGACGAGGTTTACAAGGTTTTAATTCATAGTAAGTGAAAAATGTATTGATTATATCTTTATGTTCGACTTTTCTAGGAGGTTTCGTTCCGTCGTCAGAGTCTGTTGATTTATTGAGACTTGTGTTAGATTTATCAAACGAGGAATCTGATTCACACTCCATGGAATCGTTTTTTAACGTTTCATCAAGGCCTGTTGATGCTGCAAATAATAAATCTGGGACCAAAAGCAAGCTATTTGATGTTTCTGCTTCCTTGACATCATAGGTCTTGTTATTGGTGCACAGGACAACGCTTTCATCTGAATCTCCTGAAGGAAAAATACAAATATTAAACTCTACCTAACATGGTAACATACATTTTACGTAACGTACATTTGATACGTAAAAAGTCCTTAAAAAAAAACCTTTGCCTGGTCAAAAAATATTGCACTTACCCTTGAATATCAGATCGTTGCCCTTTTCAATCTCTTTCAAAAGAACATCATCTAAGAGCATAAGTTTTAAATTGTCATTTTGATGATTAACATCAGGAAATCTTAATACTTGTGTTATTTCAGTTAATTCTGGTTCATGAAGTTTAGCTATTTTAATTATTTTACGCGCATCTTCAGGAGTTCTTTCTTCTCTGAAAATAAAGTTATAATAATTAGGAAACTTCCTGCCTGAAAATTTACTACAATAAAGGGTATTTGTATACAAACACCTGGCAATCCATAGGAAAATATTTTTTGGTAATGAGCAAAAGCCCTGTGTCCAAACCACAATCCAAATAAAGAAATCAACGAGCTTTGTCTATGGTCTCTTTCTTTTGACATTGACAGTTCGATCGATCCTCGAAAATTCCGTGCGTGATTTTCAAAATCACGATTTAGTTTAGAAATAATTTTAATGTAAAAAAAATCGAAAATGTCTCTGTTCGGTGATATACTCCCAATCAATAAAAATGAAGAAAAGAACAACCAGGCGAGCGCGAGCCTGTCGCCGTACCTCAACTTCGACCCTCACATTATACCGAAAATGCAACCAGAATTCCTGTACCCTGATGATAGACACATGGCTTCCACTGCTAGAAGATCTAACGTAGCTCTGCCCATAATCGGAATGTCCTTCATGACTGGTTCAGGTAATAAGTTATGATGAAAATAATAACCTCAAAATGTTAATAATTTTACATAACACACTCCAGGCTATCCAGCAGCAGAGAATTAACAAAATACTATTCTAATTGTTAAAATAATGTGACTGGACATTTCTTGCTATAAAAATTTGACTATTTAAACTAACAAATGTTACGACTCCAAAGTTCATTTATGATTTTGTGCTATATCAACAAATAATACACACAATAAGACTGTGGAAAATGACCTCTGTAATGTTTTGTCGTAATTTAGCAAGTTTGTTGTCATGAAAACAACTTTTGTTTGTTTTGAATTTACCAACAAACTAAAATAAAAACATTAAATTGCAGGTCTTGGAGGTATGACAGGACTCTACAAGGGTTTGAGGGCTACCACACTGGCTGGCCAAGTTGGAAAAGTTAGGCGTACCCAGATAGTCAACTATATTATGAAACAAGGTAAACGAAATTCTAATTTATATTTAAAACTAGCTGACCCAGCGAACTCAGTTCCACCTTAAAGGCAGGGTGCAGTCCTGTTGTCCCCCCTGCTTGGCCCCCCTAGGGGAGCCAACAGGATTTCGAAATCCTGTTGTCCCCCCTGGCTAGGGGAGACAACAGGACTAGATTTTCAATCAATGATTTAAGGACTGTTGTCCCCCCTGGCAAACATTGGGTATTTAGAAGCCATATATTTTTGTAACATTTAAGAAGTACTGGAGTACCTACCTGACTAAATGCCTTATTGACAAACTAAATACCTAAACGTTTGTCAAATAATAATTAACATCTTGTTAACGAAAGAAATATAAGTTGTTGGTACCGGTAATATTTCTGACTATTCCAAAATCCGCTTTACTTGCTTTTAACAGATCGTTATGAATTATCCCTACTAAATAATATTATACGAGTAAATGCGACAGTACTTTATCTGTCTGTTTGTTACGAATTCACGCATAAACCATTGAACCGATTTTGATATTTGGTAAAGAGATAGTTTTGAGTGCCGGGTCCCGGTTTTTTAAACAGGAATGCGCTCTATATATTTTTTCTGTGACAGACAAAATTTTATGCGGACAAAGCCGTGGGCAAAAGCTAAGTATAATGCTTGTAAGTATATTGTCTAAAAATCCGTTTAGTAGGTAGTTTTTACGTGAAAGAGTATCAAACATCTATACTATTCCATACTCCCATTTGTAATATTAGTAGGTAGGACGCTAAAACTGCATAATTTTAAATTAGTCATAATATTCAACAAATTAATTGCTCAGTGATTCATCATTCAACTAGCGGCCGCCCGCATCTTCGTACCTACGCGTGGACTCCGTTTTACCCCCTTATGTGTGGAATTTCGTACAATCCTATTATATGTTTCGTATTATTTCCTATCCTTAAATAAATAGATAAATAAAATTCGTTCTTGGCAGATGTCTACACCCTATAAGGAACCTACCTGCCAAATTTCAAGTTTGTAGGTGTCAGTACCGGCACCAACCTTATTTTTTTCGTTATCAAAATGGTAATTATTATTTAACAAACGTTTAGGTATTCACTCATTTGTGAATTTGGCATTCAGTCAAGTACTTCAGTATTTCACAAATTATGTTATAAAAATACATGGCTTTTAAATAATGTTTGCCAGGGGGGACAACAGTCCTCAAATCATTGATAGAAAATCTAGTCCTGTTGTCTCCCCTAGCCAGGGGGGACAACAGGATTTCGAAATCCTGTTGGCTCCCCTAGGGGGGCCAAGCAGGGGGGACAACAGGACTGCACCAAAGGCAGTAAATAAGCAAATTTTGACCGTTTAGACCTACCCTGAACTACAACAAACATTTGAAAACCAAAATCATCTCAATCGGCTCAGCCGTTCTCGAGTTTTAATCAGACTAACGAACAGCAATTAATTTTTATTTATATAGATAGATATTTACTTTCCAAAATAGCTATTATCTTCTCAACTGGATTACACAGACATAAATTCTAACATAATTTTTGTCTGAATTTTCAGGCACAACCACCGGATGCACTCTTGGTATCATCGCTTCATTCTACTCGTGCATTGCACTGGGTGTGACTTGGGTCCGTGACAAGGAAGACACAGCCAACACTTTCATAGCAGCCGCCACTACAGGAGTCATCTACAAGAGCACTGCTGGCCTCCGCTCGATGGGCTTAGGAGCAGCGGTTGGCCTCACACTAGCTGGAGTCTACACTTTAGTCACCGATAATGATAACATATGGAGCAAAGCCAGATACAACCGATTGTGATTTTATTACCGCCTACTTTAGGATTATGTACATAATAGACTGTTATATTAGTTGTTTTTAATATTGAATTTCTTTTATATTATAGATTTGTCTTCATCTAATATACTTCATCCTGAGAATTTCGTGAAATAAGTTGGGGAAGCTTATTTTGTTAAGCTTAACTCAATCTAGAATTCTAAAAATCTCGAAATATGGAGCTCAACTATTTATTTTGCTTAAGACATATCTATGATATAAATAAACCATTGATCTGCAGCAAACGAACCTATTTGGGTCATGTTCTTTTGCTCAGTTCAGATTTTTATGCAAGGCTGTCCTGCCTAACGATCATTGTCCCAGTATCGGAGCAGCACAAAATACGCATAAGCCCTAAAATAAAACGATTGTTTGAAAAATTATAGTGTTTATTTTATTTCAGTTACATTACATACAGTATACTAAATATTTGTACAATGCTCTTTATTCACAAGTTTCACAACACAAATAAAATTAGGACTTACTAGTAAAAACATTGGACATCATTCAATATGATTTGTACAAAGGAAGGTATAATGTAGTGTTGGTTATATGAAGTAACAAATTGAAAAAGATACAGCATTATTTTGTGAAATTGAGCAAAATCCATTCTAGTAAAACATGATAAACAGCAAAAATATAATTATCTACAGCAAACAGTTCTCGTATTGAAATGACAAGGTCACAGCTAAAATAATTATCTTTATAAAAATCATAAGAAAAATAAACTTCCATCAAACAACAGACTTAACAATTAAATTGCCCTAACTACTGTCTGTATAGGTTATTGTAATTGTAATCTAGCATATTTCATATCACTAAGTCATTTATGGAGCATTCCACGCGAAGCGGACAGGTAAAAAAAGTCGATGTTTCCGATTTCAGTAATATTTGAGTATGTTCTACCTATACATATTATTGATACGTGTACCAAATATTTTTGTAATATAATGACTAGTTTAAGAGTTATGGGTCTTCGAAGTTTTCGACAACCGGTTGGCATGCAGTACTTCAAAGCCGATTATGGAGTCATAAAATTATATATTAAAATAATTAAACCACGGGATTTATTACTTCATTTACCGTGCTTTTTAACTGTATTTTTGGAAACGAAAAAAAAATTATTTTTTCCTAAAAAAAATGCAAATTAATTTTTTTTCCTTGATTTTCACAAAGTTCGACCCTTTCGATTTTTTTAATTTTTTTTATTTAAATAGCTAATATTGTGTAGAACATTCATGCCAACTTTCAAAGTGGGCGTGGAAGTGGATTCGGAGCTAGACTGAAAATACTGCCGAAGGGTGGCGTCCAGCGCCGCGCCGTCGCGCTGCCGCGCCTGAAGCCCGCCGCCTGTGCGCGTTTAGTGAAACTGACAAGCAAATAAAATCACTTTTGACGGAATGTTTTTTAGATTTTTAATAACACCAATACATTTTTAGTACCTATTAAATACTAAAAAATACGTTATGGCCAGGCTTGTTCTTACTCGGACACTGAAAGGATCGCTCCGAACTCCGAAAATCGGTCAAATGAACTAGTTCGGTCTTCTAGTACTATTAACTAGCACATTTTAGTACACTGATTCTATTAGGTAGATCGAACGAAAAAAGTCTTTATTCATATGCATTTATGGTCCAATATCGAAAAATACTCGCTACACACTCACAGAGCCGAATCCATCTCGCTCGCGCGCGGTTGTCACCAATTTCACGTCTCGTTCACACCTATTCATTAGTGATCGGCTGTACTAAAGTGAACTAAAAGACCGATTTGAACGACCAAGACGGAATAGTTCGTTCTCGTTCACTTAATTAAAGGAATTGCTTCCTATTAGTACATAGTACATGTACTACACAAGCCTAGTTATGGCGTATCCGCACATGCCGGGCGGCACGGCCGGTTCGGTTCGGTTCTGGGTATTAGTCCTGACCTAAATTAACTGGTGGATCTATTAATCCGGTCCACAATATCTTCTAATTACCAATAATTTACGACCTTTCAAAAGACTAGATAGAATGAAAGGTCTAGTATTCATTATATCTAAAAATTATTATGAGCCACTTAATTTCATAGGAATAGGATGAAAGCACTGACGACCGTCTGCCTCCCACATAATCGCCTTTTGTAACTCGAAAGGTATAAAAATAACAGCTCATTCTATTTTTGTTAGGAAATATTCACAGTTACGAGTAATGTAATTTATTTTTCACGATACGGAAAAACGCAACTTTATTTACTACTACTACTTTATTTTATAACGTATTTTAGTATTTAATAGGTATTAAAAATGTCTTGGTGTTATTAAAAATCTACAAAACATTCCGTCAAAAGTGATTTTATTTGCTTGTCAGTTTCACTAAACGCGCACAGGCGGCGGGCTTCAGGCGCGGCAGCGCGACGGCGCGGCGCTGGACGCCACCCTTCGGCAGTATTTTCAGTCTAGCTCCGAATCCACTTCCACGCCCACTTTGAAAGTTGGCATGAATGTTCTACACAATATTAGCTATTTAAATAAAAAAAATTAAAAAAATCGAAAGGGTCGAACTTTGTGAAAATCAAGGAAAAAAAATTAATTTGCATTTTTTTTAGGAAAAAATAATTTTTTTTTCGTTTCCAAAAATACAGTTAAAAAGCACGGTAAATGAAGTAATAAATCCCGTGGTTTAATTATTTGAATATATAATTTTATGACACCATAATCGGCTTTGAAGTACTGCATGCCAACCGGTTGTCGAAAACTTCGAAGACCCATAACTCTTAAACTAGTCATTATATTACAAAAATATTTGGTACACGTATCAATAATATGTATAGGTAGAACATACTCAAATATTACTGAAATCGGAAACATCGACTTTTTTTACCTGCCCGCTTCGCGTGGAACGCCCCTTATGTAATAAACACTTAACATATAATTTATAATTAGATTACATCGAATGATAAGTGTGGATGGATTAATTGCAGGAAAGCATTAGATATAACAGTTATGTGGATAATATAACAAAATTATATGTTCAAGATGAGTTACAGTTTTTCTTACTTTATGAAGAGGAGAGTAAAATGCTAAATTGACTTTGTCGAGATTCTACATACTTTTCTATGTAAAATAAATTCATAAGATATAAAAATAATTTTAATTAACATTTCCATCTCTTTAACTTTACACAATCATTTCATACCTAATTAAAATTATGCTAAAATATCATAGCTACCTATTTAATAGATTACATAATAACTGAGTAAGTGCCTATGTAATTTACCTACAGGTAGCTTATTTACGTGGTTATTTATTTCTATTTTATTATTATGCTCTTAATGTTAGCTGATGGATTGGTAATTAGTGACAATGATGACAAAGAAATGAAAACTTAATGAATGAATCAATATAGTTAGAATGAACCAATATATCGACTATCTAAATTATCTAGCAGTAACATTTTTAATTCGATCAAGGAGTATTAATTATTCTTTGCAGCAGCAGTCATTCCCTCTAAAAAAGTTATTATATTTAGGCAGAAACAATAAACATTAACGTAAGTTATCTTATCAGTACAAACAGATTTTTATACACCAAATTTAAAAGGAATGATCTTTGCGTAGTAGTACAGAAAATGTATCAGTACTTCAAACATGATGAATGATATTGGCATTGCCTACTTAACTCAACTTTAATTTGGCCATTTATTCTAGACACATGCAATAGATCTACAATTATATCTAACTTGAATTTTGCAGTCATCGCTGCAACCCCTTGAGGCGCAGCAGTGCGTTCGTCACGAGGCTGCGTTTAATATCAACTTCATGTCTTCTGGCAACACACAATTCAGATCTTCCAAACGTCTAGCTAACAAAGTCCTAGTATTATCAGCTACAGGAGGATTGCTCTTTAGCACTTCGCGGAGCTTGAGCACCATATCAACTATCTCAACTTCTTTCTTTCCAATGGACCATTTCTTTAAATCACTTTCAGCTAAAGCTTCAAGTTGTAATGCATGAAGTTTGTTCGTTAAATTGCTATGTCTTTGATGAAACCATGCACTGAAGTTTGGTGTCCTGAAGAAGTTCCTGTACAACCCTATCCAGTCGCCCTTGATTCCAGTAGTAAGTTGGGGCCCTGACTGTTGAAGAGTTGCAAAGAAGTCTTCAGGGTTAAATGGATTTGGCACAGGAGGCGCACGGAACGGCGAAATGTTCTTTTGTAACGGCATCAACGATGCCATATACCTCTCCAAGGGGATCATGAAACTTTGAGTCAACTCCAGCAAATGACGTTTAACCATTGCTGTCTGAACTTCAGAGGGACGCTCTGTTCTTATTCCATTGTGTAATTTCTTAATAATTGTTTTGTCCTTTTCTAAAAATGGCTTATACTGAGTATAGACTCCAGGCGCTGTGTCTAACAATTTTAAATTGCCAACTTTTCTTAGTTTGGTTTTAATTGAAGCTGAATCACCCAGTTTGATTGTATGTGGCCAATGTTGTAATGTTTTTGTGAAAAATGGATTAGTCACACCAAGAATTACACAAGGTGGGTTGTATTGCTTTCTAGTGAACTCTTTGAACTCACTATCATGTATTGTGAAATATGGTCTATATTCAGCAGAGTATGGAAGTGGCTGTATCAAATACGTCAGAGCTTGAACTAAAGCAGAACATTCTGTTGGTGAGCTGGCCATCACAACAATGGGTTCTGCTGTCAAAACTAGTTCCCATAACAAATGTAAATGCGATATCAAACTGGACAATGCATCAAACACATTAACATCCTGCAGTGATGCCAATATATGTGGTACATTAGGGGAGTGTACATGTTTAGCAATATCTGAACGGGTAATCTTGCCAGTCTGATGGTTAGGGATATACGACTGGAACACCGAGCCTAAGACTGGCAACAACACATTCTGGCCAGCATCTAACCTTGGCCATCTGTTTATATCGTGACAAGCAGCTTCTAGGCTGCTCTCTCCTTCTTCAAAGTGCTTTGGTGCTATCAACTGAATGACTTTGTAGAAAAGGTTAATAAATGGAAGCCTTGTAAGTAAGATTATACTTTTCTGGAAATAGCCTCGAGGGAGAGACGGGTCCTTGACCTGACGGAAGTATACGAAGCCCCAGTAGTGCGTGGAGTCCGCTCGTAGTGTTGAAACAGCGTCTTCGTTGTAAATAAGTTGTTGATTCGATAACGGAGTACGTGACCGCAGCCGCACGTGGAACTGCGTGTCCCCCATGCATCCCGAATTAGAGTCTGGGAATGCTAGATAACAGATATTACACTTCTCTTGGTCTGACAACTTAACTCCTGGTGGATACACACTCTCCATCGCCTGTCCCAGCTCCAGGTCGAATGTAACCACACAAATACAGTGCAACCAGTCCGAGAACTTGCTCCATTTCGCTTGAAACTCTTCGTCTTCCGTGAGAACGGGATTATCGTCGTAATTCTGCACTCCACAAGCCATGACTCTAGACTGCCGTTAACTCATTCCAAATGCAATTCTTAACATCGCACGTATTCTCAGCACTATTTCTCACAGAGTAAACACTATTTACACTGAAAAACTATGCTAGGAAACATTTTTGTCATTGTATTGTAATAAAAACAACCAAGAGCACGCAAGCCCTAACAGCTGTTCTGTCAAACATGGCCGCGCCCGCCAAAACAAAAGTTTACTTACTTTTCCGTAAATTATGTATGGTTTATGTACTAGACATGCAATATTAAACCTAAGCACTTACCCAATCTCCATGTTTATTTATTAGCACTTAAAAATAGCAAATAGTAGGACACATAGAAAAACTAATTTAAAATGTGTAAAAAACAGTACGAGCATCAAGCATTTTTAAAAACGTTTCGTTTTCACACCAATCACCGATAGACGTCAATCTATTACAGACGCAAAAATAAATATAATATCCAGAAAATGCAGTTTTCAGATAAATCAATGAAGAATTTGAAGAAGACTTAGTATTGTTTTGTCTTTTTTTCTATTTTTGAAATGATTACAATTGCAATAAAATAACTAAATTATCTTGAACGAAACGCATTTTAACTTTTGGCTCAAAATGTCTTGTTCCACAGCTAAACACAACCACCAAAAAAAATACAAGACTATCTTCTGTCTTTGTTTAACACGGAGGTTTGTCTCTTTCTACAGCTTCCATCTCTTTCTAGCAAATACATTGGTCTTTGTTTATTTTTACGAGAAATGTCTTTTTTTTTTTTTTTTTTTTTTTTTTTTTTGACTTAAACATATTGCCTAATAGGGCATTTAAACAGCTCTTTGAGTCCGAGAATATAACGGTCTTATTTAATTTGTGAGAATAAACATATGATATTGCTTCTAAAATTGCTAAAGATTCGCCTGAATAAACTGTTGTTTCCGTCGGAGATTTGAAGCTCAACACCACCTGGAACTTTGGGATCCAAACAGCGCTACCTACGTGACCGTCGACAGGTGATTTTGACGCATCAGTGTAGATTGGCAGCCATTGATGCCAATCCTGGTCAAGGCGCTCGGTAAGTTTAAAATCGGCTGCTGGGTCATTCTTAAATATACCTAAGTCCAGGATAACATTAGGCTCAAAAATCACTGCGTGGTAGTCGGTTTGAAAAAGAGGGTTTTTGCTATATTTGACAATAGGGTTTGATAAGGAAGAAAATTTACGAAAACTAGTGACAATTCGTGGGGGATCCTTATGGGTCCAATATTTGCAAGTAGAACGGGAGGTATAATTTAAGAGATTTTGAAGACGGGAAATTAGAGGGTGTGCTGAGTTTTGGAGTAATTTAATAATAAATCTATCTGATAAGTATTGACGGCGAAGGTCCAGTGGAGGGTCGACACATTCTACCTGTAGAGCGTTCTTCGGAGACGACTTCATAGCACCAAGAACAATTCTTAGGCTTCTCGCTTGAATTAAGTCTAATTTGTTTAAAGCCTCTTTGCTACAGGGTTCAAGAAGGAAAGAGCCATAGTCTAGGTGGCTACGGACTATTGCATTATACAGCAATTTTTGACAATAGGGGTGTGACCCCCACCAAACTCCGGAGAGGGATCTGAGAATGTTGATGCCTTTTTCACATTTTTGAGCTACTTGGGCGAAATGAGGAATGCCGGTCATTCTAGAATCCAGAACGACTCCGAGGAATTTAACTTTTTCTACAATGGGGATAGACTGACTATTGCACGAAATGTCTACATCAGGAGAGANCACTTATATTGTCCTCGTCGTCGCAGAAATCGTCAAAATCGTTGCAAAAGGCGTCTTCATTTGTTGAGTCCTCGCTCTTGATGTCTTTCACTGCAGACTTTGTCTCTTCTGAAACTAGAACGAAACTAATATTAACACACTTGAACAATATCTAAAAAAAGATTTTACGGAATTTCACATACTAAACTATGTAATTCATATTGCTAATTACAATTAGCAATATGAATTTCATTAGCTTTTGTTATAGCGCTTGCGCTGCTTCTTCTCAGCACTGGCCCATTTATTGTCCCGAAGCAGTGGTAGGTTATTACTGGGACGTGTAAAAGTGCTTTTTGAAAGATTACTTGCAAAAATAAAATGAGTTTTATATTGGCATTTAGAGCCAGCGGGAAGGCGCTGGATGCAGGCCGCTACCAACCGTGCGATGTGGAAGTCATTGGGGGAGGCCTATGTTCAGCAGTGGACGTCCTGTGGCTGAAATGATGATGATGATGATGATGATTTAGAGCCAAAGCACTCGATGCGTTGAGCCGCCGAACCGCAAAGATTTCGCCGTTTCGCGCGACCGCACCGCTTGTGTGCCCGCCACAGATATTTCTATGTAAGACGACGCAGCGACACCGCTCCGGCGTCGCACCGCCGCCGCAACGCATCGTGTGTTTATTGAATAGAATAGAATAGAATAGTTTTTATTTGAAAGAAAGACATACAAGCAGGTAGGTAAGGATTATTAGTGGACTGGACAGTTTTAAAGACTGTGGGACTATACTATTCCCACCTCTCGTTCCCACCGCTGCAACTCCTGTGTAGCCAGGATCTACAGCTTGACCGCCAATAACCCAACCAGTGAAGGCCAAGTTTGTCCCGGGGGAAAGTTAAACTGCCATTGGACCCGCAATGAAATTAATCAGAAGAACATAGGAGGAGTTCGAAGTTTCGATTATAGACTGAGACTCATAAGACACTTTATTTTTATCACAAGACCCGTATGCGCAAACGTTGCTTGCTTAAGCGAAGCAGCAAATCGAACGCATAGCGTTGAATAGTTCTGTTTTTTTTTAAAGATTATTAGCAATTTGTATTGCCCAAATTACTAATAGTCCCATTAGCTTTTTGTGTTAAGCTAAATAAGCTTGTGTTACGAGTGGGCTCACCACAATAGTCAAGCGGCGGTGGGATTCGAACCCGCGTTCCTCGGATCTCGAGTCGGCCACTCCGACCCCTTCACCGTTCGGCTATCGTGGCTATTCGTGTGTCACCCTGTGCGTCCACGCGCACTGAGACCTCATATTAATGTTTGTGAATGCGGGCATTAAACTCATAAGGCTTTTCATTTTTAGACTTAAAATCTTACCACTTGACTTGACGTTCTGCACAAGAACCTTCAAAGACGCCTCCACCTGTTCCCTGAAGGACACAGCATCCCGCAGCTTGACGATGCAACTGTCACATATCAGCCGTTTTGTATCTCCGAGATCCAGTAATGCCAGCTGTAAAAGTTATGTAAAAAATTTTTAACTTGTAAGTATAAGTGTCTCTACGAGCTATGTGCCCCGCCCACTGCCACTTGATTTTAGCAATTCTGCAAGCTATGTCGGATGGCCGTTGGGGCAGGAAAGTTCTCGAGTGGCGACCACGGGCTGGAAGACGTAGCGTGGGCAGGCCTCCTACTAGGTGGACCGACGATCTGGTAAAGGTCGCGGGAAGAGCCTGGATGCGGGCAGCGCAGGACCGTTCACTGTGGAAAACCTTGGGGGAGGCCTTTGTCCAGCAGTGGACGTCATTTGGCTGAGACGACAAGTACAGGTGTAGCACTTAAATCAGTCAGTGCCTGAGGTATGGGAAGGGCAAAGGGAGGGTGTTATTGTATATAAAAAAGTATATAAGTAGTATATCCGTTAAGCTAGCACCCATAACACAAGCATTTAGTTGCTTACTTTGGGGCTAGCTGGCGCTGTGTGAAATTGTCCAAAGATTTATTTATTATTGTGAATTATGGTCAAACGTCAGCAAGACAAGATTTATATGCTCGGTAACATCATAATATTCCTCATCCTGACAATAGACAGTTTCACACCAAACCCCAATAATTCGAAACCACAACTGTTTTAAAAAGACCCTTCATTCTGGTCTTAAAAACTTAATTTATTTTAAATTACCTGTAAATTACGATTTTTGGTCGCATTGTAATTGAAAAAAGTAGTTTAACCCGGCGCCAATGACGTGAAAATAATTGCAGACGATGACCCCGGGTCATATTGACCCACATTTCATCGATCATTTTTTCAGGAAATTGTACAAGTAAGCTTAATTTTAATTCGTTCGTTCGTTCGTTTCAGCCAAATGACGTCCACTGCTGGACAAAGGCCTCCTCCAAGGCTTTCCACAATGCACGGTCCTGCGCTGCCCGCATCCAGGCTCCAGATAATTTTAATTACTGTCTATGTATATAGGGTTCTTTACTGAGCTAATAAACCAAAAATAAAACGAATGCATGAAATAAATATTTTTTCAAATGTCCAAAGATTATGTTTTGTTTTTGGTAAAGATTTCTAGTATTAATGGGAATCAACAATGTTATATAGTGAAAAAGAGATAAAATCAACTTTTTATATGCAGATACAATGAGATCAGTCTTCTACTTCATCATTCAGAGCCATGGAACTGCTGCAACTGGTGCAGTATGTAATCATATGGTCTGGGCATGTAAATGTGGCATGACGCACTTGCCGGCGTCGTACTAATGCAAGTTCAAGATTATCCGAACACTGAGTCCCCATTATTTGCGTATTTTTCACATTCGTTGCCATTTCTAAGTTC